TTCTGAAAGAGCAGTCTGTTAGCAGCGTCTTCCTCTACCACAGCGAACAGCCACACTACTCTGGCAGCTGCAATGATGTGTGCAAGCAAGGTACCAACAGCTTGTAAACTGGCAAGTATAAAACTATTGCACTGTTCACTGCTTTAAAAAAAAAAAAAAAAAAAAAAAAAAATCAATCTCTTCCTCCCTATGTTCCCATTATTCACCAACTGTGACCAGTACTGTCATACTCAATGGCACACCTGTGGAGCAAAGCATTTAGCTTCTTGGGATGTCAAAAGGCATGTCACAGCTGAAGGAAGTTAGGGAACGATCTCTGGTTCACATCCCATGTTTCAAAACAAAACCAGAGGATGTGGTGACAGCAGAGGAACTCACAGTCTGAAACCACTGCAGACAAAAATAAAGGTATGCACAAACTCTACACTTGGTGTGTGACAGAGTGAAGTTTAGTGCACCCTGAGTATAACCCAACCAAACAGCTGTAGACAATCATGCTGATTAATCTGGAAAATCATCCCATAAATTAAGTAAATTAAAGATTTGAAAGAAGCTGTCAGGTCCATCTTACCAATGCTGGTAGAAATTATTTTAAGTGCCCAAGGAACTTATTTTTCACTGGAGAAAGCCAGTAAGCTTTCTCAATTGCTTCTGGTTGCATGATATGTTAAACACCAAAGCAACCAACAATGTGACTGAACTTAAATCACCCTGCAGCATATTTGCCTAGTACTATGTCATTTTGATTCAGCTACTTTATTAATTCTCTGAATCAGAATAAAATAAATCAGATGGCTTGAATCCTACACAATTGTGAAAAAAAAAAAAAAAAAAAGCTCACTGCCACGAACAGCACAAACCCTGTATGGGGAGAGAAGAAACTGCATGTCCCATCATCTTACTCAACAGAACGCTGCAATCACCTAGCAGGGCAGAATGGGAAAGGGGAGCTGGGCTGGAAGGAAATCCAACTCCTCCAAGCCTGACATCTCTCTGGGATTGCTATTTCCCACCACAGACAGTTACTAAACATATGTCTGCACTGCACAACACCCCCTAATTCATTAGGTAGCAGAGAAAGTACAGATCTCTGTACAGAACTATTTACCCTGCCTCTCATAAGCAATGCTTAGTTGTTAGGCTAATTTGCTGCCCTTGCAAGGGATACTGCATATCAGTTTTTGCACCAAACAAACACTTGTACTAATGAAACCTGCAGCTGTATGTGGCCCACAAGTCTGGCACAGCAAGCAATGTCAGAGCTGCCAGGAAGCAACTTCGGCGAGATCTGAGGCCATTCGGCACTCAGCAGAAAGGGGCCGATGTGCAAGGGCTGTGTGGGCCGCAGGTGCACACTCCTGGAAATACATACCGAGCGCTCAGTGTGCCAGCTGCGCCATTGCTGAGTCCACTTGTGTGTCACTCAGAGTTGTGTTTCTCCTTGCAAAGTAAATTAATCCCATCCCTCTTATGCAGTGACAATCCAAGTGCTTCTGATACCCGAGTCAGATCAAAAAATCTGTGCAATATAGAGAAGTTTGCAACATGGGTATTGCATGACTTTTTTTTTTTTTAATCTTGAATTTAAAAGCTTCTATTTAGAAATTAGGGTCCTCTGTCATTTTGAGAAGCTTCTAAAAGAAACAGTGGATTGTGATGAATTGTGGCAGGAAAAACTGAATGGATATAATGTTATAGATGGTCAGCTGAGACTATGCCACTCAGTTAAAAATCATACATAGCATTAAATAGAATAGCCTTTTGTTCTGCTGCAACAGAGCGAATTATTTCCACAAATATGGCCATGAGGAAAAACTTTAATGTGAAACCTACTCCAGGATAATGCATTTTCTCACTAAATGTCTTTTCTCATACCCTGTTTGAGTTCTGCTCTACTTCATGACTGCCACCCTCAGCCTTTGAAGCCAGCGTTTTGCAGCGAGTGAACTGCCCGTGCTGCCCAACCCCACTGCAGCAGCGCGCTGCATGCTGCTGCTCAGCAGAACTGCACGGCAGCAGTCGTGAGCAGTGGCTGGGTGAGGGCACAGCAGGGAAGGCAGGTATGGGGCACTGCCCTACACTTTTCTACCCTTCGCAATGCTGCCACCACTAACTCCTGAGTGGGCAGGCGCAGGGGGTGACCGACAGCAGTGCAGCCACCCGAGCCAGCACGCCACCCCGAGCAGATTCCGGGCATCCTTGCCAGGCACGGGCTCCACTTGGCTCTACGGGGCTAAGAGCAGGCAGACCCGTTCAGAGGGCACTTAGTGGCCATATACAGCAGTTTTAACCGTATCATTTTGTAGTATTAGTAATAACATCTGTGGCGAAAGGAGGGCGGTTCTAAATTCTGTATTAAGAGTTCTCTTTACTAAGTAAATGTTGCCTTTTGTTTTATATGAAGAAATGAGGATATATTTAAAAAAAAAGACCAAGAATGTATCTGTCTTGCTCCCCCACAAGCACAATCTTCTCCTGTTCCATATACATAATTGGCAAAATTACCCCTAATTTCCTTAAGAGTCCTAAAGTGCTACAGGTATTTACACACCAACAAAGACTCTTCTACATTAACAAGTGATTTCAACAAAGTAAGGAACTGCACAGAGGTGGCTGGAAGAGAACAAACAACACAGATGCAGAATAACAAGTAATGCATAGGAATTTTACCACATACAGAAAAAATTACAAATGTTTTTAGCAAATGCTGGAGTGAAAGATTTTCCAGTAAGTATACCATTTAACAGCAAATTATTTCCTCTCGGAAATGGGAGTAAATGCAACAGCATCAAGTTCACTGTTTTATCACTGCATGAAAAGCTAACTTGCAAATATTCACATTAGCTAACACCTAAATTAGATGTTATAACTGTCAATGCAATTCAGTCTTTTCACTTGAGTATACAGGGAAAGTCATAAACTGTAAACTTACGGTTTTATGTTTAAAAGTAAATCTGTTCTAGAATTCCTAGTCCATCTAAGAAACCAGTCAGATGACATTTTAAAAGCTGATAAATTTGTTTAGTTTCTTGTAGAGACAATCAACAATTAGAGACTAATTTTTCCATAATGAGGACAAGACATTCCTTTCTAGACAGGACATTAACCCAAGGCTGAAGTCTACTCAACAAGCATCCTTATGAGGCATTTTATGTGACGTTTCCTTTAATGTTACTTCAGCAAAGCAATGATTTCAAACACGTATTTTCATTTCTCTCTGGACCACAAATAAAGAATGATGCCTTTGTAAGGTTCCATAATTGGCATTTCCGAGCCCATCCCTACAGATGCTCATCCTGCCCTCACTCACACAGTACAAGAACCAGGGCATGTAGCAGCCAGCCGGAGTCCACACTGCAATGAGCCAGCTCCTTCTAAACACATACTCAACGTGTGAGCTTACCGCAACTGCAGCATTATCAACGTGGGATTGTTTCAAGACAGCAAATATGGGAGAGACAGGCATCTTTTATGGTGATTATAGTTACCCACAGCCCCGCACCTTGCACTTTTGTGCTGCTCAAGTTGCTGTAGTAAGAAGTTGCCACCACACGAGGGAAGCACAGTGACTGAGGCACCCCGGAGCCTTGCCGTCCCTTACCTGCCGCTGGCTCCTCGCAGGCACCTCTCCGTAGCCACGCGGGGCCGGCGGTGGCCCAGAGCGCCCAAGCGCAGCACCGCGCGCCCGGCCCTCGCGGAGCTGGCGAGCCCCGCTCACGCCACCGAGCAGAAGGCGACGCCAGGCTACACAGGCAAGTGCCTGGGCTTCCAGCCTGCTCTAATCAAAATAAATAGCAATGTAACAGAAAATAAAAATCTCCAGTAAAGGTCAATATTTTAGACGAAATGTCAGTGGGTTTCTGGAGATTCAGTTATTAATAAAACTTATTGAGGGAATCTAATCACTTCCCTCGCGGGTGCTGCGAAGACACGTCCCTCACACCAAGGCGCTGGGGTGGGGCTGCCGGAAGGGGCGGGGCCGCCGGAAGGGGCGGGGCCCACACGCCAGGTGCTCTTGTGCTCCCCTGGAGGCACCCACAGGCGTCTGTTAGCCTAAAAACGCACAGTTCCTGCGTTAAAGCTACTCAGCATCTTATTTCTGCACTAGAGTGATTATTTTAAAGTTAGTAGATTATCATGCACCATTACAAAACATATTGCCCATTTAAGACACAAATAAGGTATAGATCAACCTATGGTGTTCTTTTCCTTCTAACTACAACTCCCATACAGCTTGGAAATACACTTGAGATCCTGTAGCACCACGAAAGGCATTTAGGAGGTTTGTCTCACCTCCATGTTTGATTTGTTGCTTCCCAAATAAAGGTTTGGTGGTGGGGCTAAGATGAAGAGTCAGCAGATCTGCTGGTCGTCAGGCTGACGGTTCAGCTGCTGCCATGCTTGCAAGAGCCCAAGGCCAGTCCTAATTACTATTTAAAGGCTCATCTACCAGGACCACCTATCTGATCACAAAGTAAATCCTGATGTTTTGCAGAAGGAAAGGAGTGCTTCGACTTATGGCACTATGTGGAGTTGGACTGTCGCTGCCGCACATAATTCACCCGTAGACCACACGCACTGGCTGTGAGGAGCTGGCAGGAAAGTGTAGCATTACATTTATTGGAAGTATTGATTCACACATTATTAAGAACACAGTACCAATTTAGGAAAGGTTACCAGAAATATGTATATATTAAGTAACATCAGATGTAAACCAACCATCTGGTCCACTTTTGTACATGCTAAATGTATTTTTTTTCCTAGATCTGTCCATACCACACAGGTATGCTTAGTAGCCCTCTTTCTGCTGGCAGAATATTCTACACAATTGACCTGTCCCAGCACTGGCTTCTGAGACTGGAGATCATAACATAGAGGGGAAAAAAAAAAAAAGAAATAGAAAAGGGGAAAAGAAAAAAAGGCTCTGTTTGAGTCTGGTAAACTAAGCTGGAAGCTGGTTTTATCCTAATTGCCAAAAGCAGAATAAAATGGAAGCCTTGTCCAAGAAGAGAGAATTTACAGCTTTTATTAGGTCTTACAGGTAACCATAGTATGCTTCATCACTAGTCACTGTATGGACCAAAAGATATAAACAATTAATATGAACATATTATATTACTAAACCAGTATTACCACAAAAATGAAAAGACTTTAACAGACCAGAAGACTGCTTTTATCTGGCTAACCTCAAGAAGTTTTTTTAATTGTTTACAAATAGTCTTGCTATCATATATTCTGCAGTTCTAGAGCTGAGGCACTACAGCACAGGCATCAAAAGTCTCACCCAAATTCCCAGTTTTATGTATGCTATGACTGAAATTTTAAAAACTCATTTCCAGACAACTTCAGTCTCAAATATTTTAAGTCTCATATATTTATCTTAAATCTCTGGATATCAAAAACCTCTAGCATACTTGCTCCTGAGGATAATTAGATCCCAGATTATATTTTTAAGTATACCTGAAATATATTGATAATTTACAAACATGTTTCAGGGTTACATGATTGGTAAGTAAACACGTCTTTGGTAAATAATAACTACTCTGTTCTTTACTCAGTTAAAAAACTTAATTAATTTTCAAATCTAGATTAACTGACTTTTTAAATAATTATTTCTATAATGAATAAGGCTCATATGGCACTATGCTAAGTGTGATGAATGGCTGTATGTAGCAAAACCTGAATGATGTTTTCAGGTTACAAATCCTGTTAACACTCGGCTCCTGCTCTGGCTCGGGGGGTTTTTTGTGCCCTTCAGCCAGGTCCAGGAAGCCGAATCTGACTGAGACTTTTCTCATGAAATAGACTTACAACATTTAAAGGTGTCAGCAATGTAGAAAATACTGTCCAGAAATACATTCCACAGTAGGTGCAGGATTGTGTGCTAAAAACTACAACAGGCCAATTAGTTTAAGGTTGAAATAATACACTATAGCTGCAGTATGTCCTAAAAATGTCTGCTTCACCACTTATGCAGTAAAACAGAAAAACTATGCACTATGCATGCTTGTGCAAGTTGGAGATGACTGATCGCTCCTGAAGGAAACCTAAAGGCACAGGACATAGGTAATGTGAATGAGAACCTGGTAACATACACTGGCTTCCATTCTATTACATGAATCCAATTAGAAATTGAATGCCTAAACCTGTATTTTTACTTTTTGTGTACTAGATGCCTTCACTTTGGCTAAAAGATACTATACCATGTCCTTTAAGAAAAATAGCAGCATTAAATAGATCTTCTAATTTCAGAGGAGAAGTAAAAAGTCATCTTTAGGTTTGGCTTAGAGAGTTTTGGAGATTATTTTAAACATGTCCAAGAAATTACCAGATTATTTCTGATGACTATAACAGTTTTACTGTTCTACTACAGTTTTTTAATCATCTGCCTTATTAAAGGATCAATTACATTTGAGACAATAAATAGTATACTTTACAATAAATAATATTTAAGTCAAAGTATTGTACTTACAAAATAATGTAACATTGTAATAAGATCTTCAAGATCAATTCCATTTTATATATTCTGCAGAAAAAATAACATTTCTAGTACGAAGGCATTACTGATAAACCTAGCAAGATCTACACATTCACATATGTGTGTAAATGACTTAACAAGGTTTATTATGTTTCCAGAAAAGCTATGCCTTTACAGTAGGTTTTCAGCTAAATGTTATCATAATGTGGTAGTAAATATATAACAGTGGTTATATTTAGCTCCATCACAAGTTTTAATTTGGGAAAAAAAAAAAAATGGAGTGCCATTATTTACAAAGAACAGAAACTTTCCTTTTGCTTCACAAGTGGCTGTATCTGTGTGTGAACAAAATGTTAGGGCGAGGCATTCCAGATGAACTGCAGCTAAAGTTGGGCGAGGATGATTTCATGATGAGCAGTGAAGGTCCTGGCAATAAATACCTAGAAAGGATATGAAAAATATAGCAGACTTTACAGGCAAAATGACATTCAAGAGCAAAGGAACTAGTTGTTTGTGTGCCATACTTTATAATCATTGTATGCAAGAAATTATGTACAATAAATACTATTTGTAAAACATACAGGGCAGGCATTAGGCACTAGCTAACTCAGGGAACAGATCAAAACTCAGAGAAACTCTTAGCAAGATTTCAAGATGTTGTATGAGGATCAAACATCTTTCCAGTCCCTTATGTTTAAAGCAAGCAGAGAAATAAAACAATGGCATTCTATGTAACACTACTACCAAAAATTAATACTTCATAAATTGTTCTGTTATTATAGTTCTATTTATTTAATTTAAACTGGGTAAAAACTGCAATTGATGTTAACAACCTTATAAGAATTTAAGTGGTATAAAATGTTGATTTGGAAAAAAACAGAGATTTTTCAGCTTTGGTTTCCAGCTCTAATTCTCTAAAAATAGATATGCTATCTCTACTCTAGTAAAGCAAGAAACAATGATGCTACAACCTAGTAAGTCACATCAATGGCTATTTACCTCTTAAATTCAGGCAACTATATAGCCTGTATTTTACATAATACTAGAAACAGTAGATTATCATATACCTAATATTAATTCTTAAATCTTTTCATGTTATCGTTTCCTAATAATTAATTGTAGAAGTCATTAGATGAGCACAGTAAGTGTGCAAAAAGAACATCCACACTAAATCAGAATTTCATAATGAATTATGTCAATGTTAGGATGGATTAACACAACACATGCTATAAATTACTGCTTAAAAATCGTTTCATCATTCTAGTGAATCATTGATTAATGATGAATAAGTTAAAAGACAGATCCTACTAATCACATGGATAGAAACAGTGTCACACTGTCAAAGGCATGGCAGCTCTATATAAGAAAGTATACACGTGTGGTTTGTTTAATTTTTGAGAAAAGCTGTTATTAACAAAAATACTATTATTGATACATTTTTTTAAACAATTTACCAAAAAAAAATAAAGTCTGATTTGGAATGGGTTGGTGGTGAGCTTGAGAGTTCACTATGTCACAGACTGAGTCCTACCTTTTCTTGATGTAAAGTAAAAATCTCTAATGTTTTCCAGAAAATATACTATGCAATACATAATATTATTTACCGAGCTGTTAGGTTCAAGCAGTAGACAGTATTTTTTTTTTTTTTAAATTTGTAACACATTTCTCAAAATGTGAGCACATTTCTCAAAATATTGAAAGTCTGACTTTTTACACATTTTTATTTTAGCTATTACTTTAAAGAGATTTTGGTATAGTTTTTGAGCTCTCCTATTGCTGTCTTTACACTTTTAAATTTATGAGGAAAAAAATGACATTAATACACATTTACATTAATACTCCTATTCATTCTCTTCATGACATATAGTGGATTTACAGTTAGGAGATGGGATTGAGAACAAATTTTAAAAGCGAAAAAAACCTCTCTGTCAGCTTTTATTATCTTTTTCTCTCTCCCTGCACAAATAAATTTTCCCAGCTAAAGAAGTATCTATTCATAATCTCTGAAAGCTTTAGTTTCACAAACATTTTTTTTCAAACACAAACAAAACAAAAAACTGGTTTGTGCTCAGAAAAAAAACAAAGTTCTTCAAATTGGATTATATAAGGTCCTGAAAAAATTTACTTCTTGTATGGTTATTAAATTACGCTCTGATCTCTTCTTGCACTTCACACAATTTTACAGAGTCAAGAAAACTATTATTAGTGCAGATTCGTATATAATTAAAAAAAAAAAAAAAACTAGATGAAAAGTGAAATAGTATTGTGATTTTCGCATTTCTAGAAAAATAGTTCATTACTTACAATTGTGGGGCATAATAGGCAACAGCATTTATTTCCATAGGTATCTTTCATTTCAGAAATCCAGAATATCATGGTTAATTAGCATATTGCTGTAGCCACAGTATAGATATAACATTTGTGGAGATTAGTATAAAAACTGTAACTTTAATCATGTTGTCATGATAGTCCATTGCTGAAAGCATACTGATATTTAGGATGTAGAGGGTTTAGATTACTCTAGCCTATGAAATTTATGAATAAACTTCCATTCAGTGTCCAAAGAAAAACAGAAGCTGGAGATGAGAAAGTTCTATTGGACCATCCCTTTCACTGTTTTCCAAATGCAAGCCTGTTAGCTGCAATATATTAGTGTAATTCGATCAGTCTGAATAGATTGTGGTTGCTCATGATGAAAAATTTTCTGCAGTATTAACAGTAAAAGCAATAAAAACTTCAAGGTTGAAGATTTTCTAGTCTTAGCTAACCCAAATGACTTTACCATACTCTTGCTATTGCTCAGTAGATGCTAATATTGAATATGATTTGTTTTGTGGCTTGTATACTTCTACATTTGCTGTGACCAAACAAATTCAGTTTCTGCTTGGTTTTAAATCATGTTAGAGTGCCTTAAGATCCATTTGACAATAACAAATGGGTTCAAGTCTATCAAATAACTAGACTGAGATATAGCAAGTAAGCAATTAAGTCATAAAATAAATTTAGCAGATGATATATCAAAGATTTGCTTTTCACATAATATTTAACTCATAAAGACCTTTTATGAAATAATGTCCATACATGTTTTATATAAAGAAAGCATTTCTAAGTTTATATACATAATAATTCAAATTACCATTATGGATAGAATTTGGAACCTAAGTAATTTGAAACTTACATTTAATTCTTCACCTACAACTGTTAAATGGCAGCATTTTCAGTAATCCTTATACTGACAATATTATAATCCCTACTGTATCCAGTTGGAGAGCTAAACCAGCCAAAGGAGAATCGAGTAAGTGCCAAATAATTTTTTTACTATATGATGCTGTTTTGCAAGGTTTGAAAATGTATTTATGCTCTGTAAAATGAAATAATAAAACTTTTAATCTGTAGGTTTTGGAAATCAACTTTGCAAAACTATGCAATACAGTAAATCAGATGGCACTCACCTGACCCTTGGCTGGAGCTGTGCCCCTATAGCATCCCACTGCGAATGTGAAGTCAGAAGTATCATACATGTTAGGATACCTCTAGGAATGCAAATCTGGAATCAGTGACTTTGAGGAATCTGAGAAGGGGAAGAAATGAAATTTTCAGTTCACTTTATGGAAGCCTTTGCTGCAGCTACTTGGGCAGTAGGCAATCAAGACTTTAGTAAGTGTAGTTTTACACAAAATGTGTATATCAAGTCTTCTTTCAGTAGCACTTCATGAGTGGGATAGAGAGATCAGAATGATAGAAACTCAGGATCAAGAGAAACGTTGGAGGTTTTGCCTTTTTTTTTTTTTTTTAATACATCGTGAACTATGCGTAAAGAGTAGTGGTAGCAGCATACACTGAAATCTGTTCCAGTATTATCCTTTCTACTTATATGTTAGGAAGAGAATATTGAAATGTATACCTTGTGTCATCCCAGTGGGGGCTAATCCCTGTAGAGGATCCTCTTGAATCTGATGAATATTTGTAAACCACCAGCAGGCAGTGTTTACAAAGCTGTACTATTCGTTGGCAACACTGGAGTTGCTCAGGAGTCACCACCTCTGTGCTTTTACTGAATATGGTTTCCCAAGAGCTCCTGTTATGGAAAAAGACATGACTTCATGTTTTATGTCACAAATTGCCATCTGAGAGCTTTACTGCTTTATATCAGATTTAATATTAGAGAAACAAGAGAAAAAGCATGACCTTGCCTGCTTACAGGAAAGGTCTATACTATTTAACACAAATGTTGGCAGATGTTGAGTCCAACACACAAAATAAGAGGTTAATCTTCATATGTGAAATGTCCACAGCCATTTTTCACTTGGTTTGTTCCCTAACGCATTTATAGGGCCGTTACTTAGGTTTAGCACATAAAGATTTACTGTCACTTAATTGTATATGTGTCTTACAACAGGAATAACAAAACACACTTATTTTTAACAGGCTATTACAGGAATGCAAATGTGATGTGATAAAAAAAGAATTACAAAAAGTAATAAATTATTTCTAAATGTCTACACAGCATAAGAATACTCTTCTTATAATTTAAGAACATGATACTAAGAAACAAATGTGAAATTAATTTACAAGAGATTAGTATGTGCTCTGCTTCCTTATCCAAATAAGCATATGAGGAGAGTTTCTCGTTTTAGTCATTCAAATACTACTTACTATTCCATCTGGTCACATGGTATTATTGTTCTACAGTTAAGTGCGACTTGCAAAGTATATCAATAGAAGCATTCCATTTTGAAATGCAGGCCATCATGCTTTTCTTTCCTTAAAAAGCCATTTCTCTTTCCAGAAAAACCCAAACCCTACCATACTAATATAAACCAAGTATGTTTTACCCCAGAAGATGACAATAGTTCTTTGCGTACACCTCAACACTCTTGTTTATGCAAAATTCTGACCAGATTACAGATCATTACATGTTTTAAAGGCAACATGGCCTCTGTGAAGACTTTGTTCTGGTCAAAACATTATCCAGTAGCCCAGATGGTTAGTTAAGCTTGAGGGGTTTTGTTTGTTTATGAAAGAAGCAATTCATAGAGTGAGGAAAATTTGATGCATCTGGCTTCAACATAGCATGCAGGATGCTTTAGCCTTGTCCACTGAGATCAGCAGTAGATTTCACAACCCTGGTGTAGGAAGTTTTTTCTTAAAACAACATCAAAGAACCATCAAACTTACTTCTGGCTACTGAGATTTTTTTTAAATTACACTGTATTAGGATGGAATTATGAACATTAATGACTAGAAGATAAGTATGTATAGCTAACTGACTTTTCAGGCTGATATATTCCAGATGAAACTCTTCAGTCCTACAGAATTTCCACTGCACACAATTTTCAAGTGGCACAAGCATTTATCCTTAATTATTATCCATATAATTACGTGTCTAAGCAATAGTTTATAAGGCATCAAAACTGTTTCATCTCATAAACTGAATAATTCTACTACTTGAAGAGCTACTATTTTCTTTAATATATTTTTTTCAACATTGTTTCCTGCCTGGGAACTTTTCACATGTATTTTTACATGGATGTTAATCTAGTCTTCATTCTTTCCTTGTCATGTGATGGTTGGTAGAAAGCAGCAAGATGAAGCTCTAAGTATTACATTCATTCAACAGATTCACAGTGCTACGCATAATTATATTCTAATTCAATCTATAAAACTCAAAAATCCTGTGGAAGAAACTCTCCTGATAAATTCCTTAAATTCTGGACTTTGACATCTGTGATCACTTTCCTATGGTTAGGAGGGATTTTACCACTGAAGAATAATATATGGCCTGCTATAACTACAGCCGATTATGAACATTGCGGGATACAGTTACCTTAGTAACAAAGACTGAGATTTGGAAATATATATGTGAATTTTAATGACCTTTCATATAAATGCACCAGTGCAACCTCCTCCATGTACTGTATTGATTCAGTTCATACACAATTATACTGCAGTCAACAGGGATAGAGTAGTATTACCTAAGGAAGCTTAATTTGTTATGCTGTAACTTTAGTTTCCGTACATTAGTAAGAAATCATGGAGTCCACACCAGATCCAGAAAAGAGTATTATGCTTGATTGTGCAATATTGTCAATGATGTGTTATTCTTTTTATCTGAAGTCAATTGGTTCTATCAGTTTTCTCTTATTAATTTTAATTGTTTATTATAAGGTAAAACAAATGTAGCTTTATGAAACCATCTACATCATGGTTATTTTAGGCTTTCTTTGTTCATTCTTTTTGCTAAAATAGCATATGCCTAGCAGACATCTAACCAGCAAGAGGAAAACTTAAGGCCATTAGCTCTGTTCTTCTCCCAAGACATATATCTTACAAATAGTCAAAGTACTGCACTCCTTAATATATTTTCACATATTCCTGTTTTTTCTGAGTTAGCACATTAATACCCCTTCCTGACATGTTTCCCCAGATTCTACACATGCCCTATGTTTATTCCAATCTATTCTTTGAAATGGCGTAATGAACTCCAAGGAAGAGTGATGAAGAGTTGGCGTCTCTGCTACAGAGGTGCTGTCATGAGTTCTCTGTTGTGGATTACATGACAAGAAGAGATTGTAACTTAATAAAGAACATACTGGGAAGGTACAAACAGCCTTTCTGTTTTCTTCTGTGAATTCTGTATTAAGTACATTACATGCAGAGCGATCCCTACATATACTGGGTATTTGTATATTACTTTTACAGTATTTTTAGAGTCTTTTACATAGCAACTCCTCTTACAAGGAACTGGATCTTTGTCAAAGAATTTAGCTCTATTTTGGAATCAGATGGGTCTTGTTCTGCATGAGTGAAATTATTGCTAGATGAGAAATCCTACTCTTCATTGAACTCTTCTGCTGGCTCAATGACTCTCCTCCTGAGCCAAGTGAGCCACAGAATTGTTAAAAGGTTTTGAACAAAAACCATTCTTTGTAGAGAAAAAAAAAGGTCTAAAATGAAAATTTTCATGCATATTAGAAGATTTGCACACCAGAAGTAAAATTCAAAATAATAATAGCATTATTAGAAGGTAATTTTAATATTTTATGACAACAAAAATTGAGCTCAGACTCAGGATTTCACACACTGGCATGAAGAAGGGACCCTGCAGCTGTTGAGAATTATACCAAAATAAGGTTTCAGATTGGAAACACAGAAATGTTTGGTCACCCTACTTTAACTTCTGGAGTGTGCTGCATTCCCAAAAACTACCTCTAACAAATCTTAAGGCTGACATTATCTGCATGTTCCCATGGCCCATCTCAGTGAAAAAAAAAACATGAACATGAAGATTCCTAATGTCTTGCACAAGAAGCCTTCAGCAATGAGAAAATAATGGTAAAAAAAGCCAAAAAAACTGATGACCCTTTGGATACTCTCAGATCTCTCTTCTTCTAGTGATCCATTTTGTTGGGAAACAATCAACAAGTGCACTACATACATTCTTTACATATGATAAATCACTATATGTAAAGAACATATTGACATGAATCCTTTGCACACATAATATCCATCAGGATACTGTTGAGTTTGTTGTTCATTTTCAATAAATCTCTTAGAACACACTATGCAAACTAATCAAAACCCCTCCCATTCTTTATACATTGTATATAATTACAGAGAAAATGTATTTTTGTATGCGATATCTTTCATATTTAAACTTATTCTTATTTGATGAAGACTGGGGGGAGGATTATTTTATACCTATGATCTGATCCTGAAAACCTATCCTTACATGAATGCCTTTGATTTCAGGAATGTAGAGTTCAAAGCATAGGATACTGAACTTTCAATATATGGCTTGATCTTTTTTTCCCCCCATAGAAAACTTGTATTTGCTACCCAAACCAAAAACATCTGTTTCCTTCGGTGTGCACATTTCCTATTCTGCATATACTTAAATTCCTACCAGTGTGGAAAACAGTAAATGTAATCAAGCACAGAAATTATCTGTAAATCACAGAAATGACATTGCATTTAGCATGAGGCATCAGCTGCACTTGTGAACTGAATTCTTCCCTTGTATGTCTTGAGCTCAAATAGATGACGATTTCTGTTGATGGTAAGTCCACATTTGACACTTACAGTGGTGTGGCCTCAAAATTTTGCACCATCCAACCAATTAAAGACCTGACCTAAAGCTCAGGTATATTGAAAGTTAGATTTTTTTTCTTTAAATTTTTATATTTGTAAATACATAAGTAAATGTCTGATTCCATTACTGAAACAATTGGCCTAGATTATTAGATTTCTAATTATACTATATCTTTAGATGGTTTTAAAACAAGTTCAGTGTATTACAGAATTCTCTTGAATGAAAATGAGCAACAAAGTATGCCAGTATTGGTCGTAATTGTGAAGCTATGAAGAAGACTAAGATAAGAAATATAGGCTTACCTTGAATTACAGAAACAGTTCCATAGACCTTGACCGTGGCTCCAAAGTAAACGATTAAACACACGGTTAAAGAGACGGTAGAGGTGTAAATTTTCAATGTCTGGAACCTTCCAGACACGCTGTAGAACTGCACAAACACTTGTCTTGACTATATCCAAAACCTAGGAAACAATATTCCAAGCAAATCAGAGCAAAGGCATATTGCAAAACCCAAAACCAACTGTTCACTGATTCACTGCACACATACACACACAAACACACACACAGATGACAGCATTGCTATAAATTCCCACAGATATCTATGTTTCATTTCTGTGCATTGATCATCAAACTTTTATGATACACTTTTTCTGTCAATAACATTTTGCAAAGCCAAATCAAAATATTTTATTTTTATTACAGAAAAGTTCATTGCTTTTTTTTCAGTCTGTTCAGTACTAGCTTGTTTAAATTACAGGAAGAGTTTAAAAAGAAACAAAATGGACACAATTACAGACTAGAAGCAACATAATTAACAACCCAAACATTATATATTTGAAGATTATCACTTCTTTTCCCACTCCTTTCAAAAATACCATCTATTTTACAAGGAACTAAAATGTACTGAAAGGCTACAAACTGCTTTTGGTTTAATCTCTGTTTAAGCTCAGTCTCACCCTAGATCAAACCATTTTAGTTGACCTTTCATGCAGGATACAGTGTAGTGAAATCATAAGTAAGAAAATAATTCACCAAGATAGTTAAAATAGCAATGTTTGTAGAAATGCAACAGATTTATTACATACGGACTACATTTAAATGCAAATATGTAAAGATATGGGTGAAGAAAATGCCAAGCTGCATTCTGTATAGCACCGACTTTTACCCGGTAAGTCTTAGCTACTCAGTACACACACATATTAATAGGCAGTCATGCATCCAACTCAGAGTCCTCTTGGACACACCTTTGAACATCCCACTAAGCTGGGACATGGAAGGTGGGATTCATCTTGCCTGCTTTTAAACATCTGTACATTCTCTTAAATCAGGCCTCTAGGTTCTCTCCATAATCCCTGGAGAGAAACAAGCTCCAGAGTGTTTTGGCTTCTGTCTATTTAGATACTATCAATCAGACTAGGAACAGTTTTGTGACCAAAGTAGTATTTAGGTCCCACACTGGCATTCTGAGCAGTGTAAAACCTGTCCTTAAAAAAGCCTATGGTACATGCAACCTATTAACAAAGAAGACAGTTAAATCAACATGATTTCCCGTAAAGGAGACACCCTTACTGACTCTTTCACAAACCATCATCTTCCAAACAAAAAATCAGTCAGACTCAAGTGGGTGATGAACCAATGGAGTTATTCATTTACTTGTTATACGATGTTGCAAATTAGAAGGTACAATACTTTCCCAGGAAACTTTCAGGTATGTATGACAAAATGATTTACACAGTGGAACATCCGACTCTCAAAATACAAAAGAGATTTAGTAGAACAGTAAAGTATGGAAGCAATTATTTGGTCCTGCATAACAAACTGATGTTTGTAAATAGTCTAATTAGACATGATGGAGGAAACAAAGCATAAATAAACAAAATGCTTGCAATAGCACAATGAAGCTGCATAGTAAAGAGTAATGCTTAATGGGCTGACAGTCTATAGATACCTAATAATGACAACCTCGATGAAATATGTCATTTAGATGTTACTTAAGCTCTTTTTTGAAAAACCAAGAATTATTCTGCATGCATAGGTCTTGCACTAATTCCATGCACATAATAATCCAATGCAAATACAGTGCCGTCCTCTCTGTTGGCAATGTTTATGAATGCAGGTGTCTGCATTCACACGCTAAAAACCACACCTGTGGTTTCATCCTCCCAGTGAGATAGAAAGAGCAGTAAATTATAAGCTAAGGATGGTGACCTTGTTTAGTGACTGCAGGAGCTACACCCAGATTTTGGACTGCCCCACACTTGTGGAATGGGTCCAGATTTCCAGATATTCCCTTAGCAGCATTAGCCTACTGTCTTAATGCTTCTCAAGCAGTCTTTTCCTTGTGTCTCACCTGATTAAGGCTTTCCCACACAAATGGCCAGTAGTTGTGGTTGTATACACCCATTTGAATCAATTAAATTCCTTAATAACATAAAGCATCAACGATACATTTCTTTACAATGTTACACTAATAGTCATTTATCTCCCCCACTGTAAAACAGAACAATTCCACCCCATATAGATTCTCTCCCTATTCCAAAAGACATGAACAGAGAACTATGATGCCTGTGTAGAGCTTTTTCTTTTAGTTTAGCACCTGGAGTTAAGAAAACTAAGGACTGAACTTTGCATCTTAAAGCAAGCTACAGACTGCCAGGTACTCTAGAAAAAAAAAACTTTTTTGCTGTTTTTACTCTGTTGATATTGCCAATATGCCAGAGGGGAAAACGTCCCAGTTAATTGTTCTTAAGTTGCAAACATGGCCTCAACCATCCATTTAAGAAAACAGACAAGGCATTGCACAAGAGCTGGAACTTAATGAAACATACATCCTCATTTTTCTAATTTCCCTAGTTTGCCTCCATCTTTCTGTTTACTTTAATTTACGTCATTTACTTTAACATAACCAATTATCTAGGTGTAACAGAACAAGATGTTATGAAAGAGCATTTTCAAAACCCTCTGGTAACCATCAAAACACTTTTAAAGAAATTATGTAAAGTGATGTAACGTGAAGCAGTCACTACTCTTCCCATACAAAAGTCTCTTTTTCCTAGAAGTCTTAGGAGACTGAATTTCATTTTTGTATGTATTGATTTCATCAGTTTAGTCTCAGCTTGCTACTCAATGCCTCCTGTACCTCTGCTTTAATGCCAGAATATTGCACATTAAGAATATGACCAGAAGTTTAATTTTTCTACTATTCATGTTGAATAACTGTTAAGCAAACATAGCTGTCAGGGATGAACACTGTGAAATCTAGTACACTACCCAGGTATTTTTTTCTTGTGTTAGAATTTCTCAGTAAGCTTAGTGAAGGGGACTGAGTTTCTGGTTTGCATTTCACAAACTCGCAGAAGGTACCTTTGAGACAGATTCCTTACTGCATAAATATTCTCCACCTTGAGCTCGTTTCTCCTTTACCCACCTCATTGGAATATAAAACATACTTATTTCAAATCAACAAAAGCTTACACATTTGGCAGTCCTCAGCTGCAATGTCATTGTCAAAGTTAATCCGTTTTTATAAACTACGCTTCTAAGAATAACTATCTGATTGCTTGAAGGGATTGAGGTTAAAAGCAGTTTAAAAAAAAAAAAAAAGGCAAATCATTTCCAGCGCAAGTAAAGATGAAGGCCCCACTAGTGATTCAGGAATTATAAGTCTCCTAAGTTTTAAAAGAAGTTGTCACATGAAGAGCAAAGAAATCCACATTCCTGATTGTGCAGTTTATGCTAATAACAACCTGTCATATCAACCTGTATCATCCTGACTTTGTACATGTGCCCTTGGTTTTACATGACTGTCAGTCAAGTACAAGGACAGAACCCCCCTTTATTGTAGGCTTCCTGAATGCTTAAAGCAGAAAATTCTGACTAGACTGGAAAAAAAAAAGTAAAAATAAAACCAGACAGACACAGGTAAATTAAGCCAGATGGTCAAATGGAGCTTAGGAAGGACAATTGAACAATGTATAGTAAACAAACTCAGTCCCTCAAAGAGCAAATTTCTCACTCTTCCTGTGGCAATTCCTTCCCATAGTTTTGGGGAATGATTTATGAGGAAGGGTTGAAAGAGACACCTTAACCAGTCTTGTGTGAAAGCCCTGTATCTCATTTGCAACAACGGGCCCAATCTGATGACTTCTTTCCACACTTGTGGCATCACAGACTAAAGAAAGCAATTATAGCAACACGTCCCCTACTAATTTGAACTGTCCCAAAAATAAGATCTCCATTGCAGCAGCAATGTGAATTTGGGGTCCTGTTATGTATGCACGTATGTATTTATCTAACACTCTCTCCTTCCTTCCTAGCACCTCTTCCTCCATATCACCATATTCTACAAGCCCCCACTAAGACTCTCTCTGGTTTTGGGCAAAAGGCTACATCTCTCATATGCACACAAGAGAAGAGATCTATGTGCACATATATAAGGATTACAGCACTCTTTCCTTTAATTAAAAAGAATTAAGAGATCATTTTAAGCAAAGGACTATTCAGCAGAACAGCTGTAGAGCTCAAAGAATGGCGTGATTTCAGTCAATGAAGTTGGTTGCTCTACTGATTCCTGTCAATGGCACAAGAAATAACTCTGCTAAACTATAGATCTGTGCTGCCATTTGACATGGTTTGAGAAGAATTTCCAAGTTGTTCTTCAGTTTGTCATGTCTAATTTAGTTTTAGAAAGCTGTGTGGACTCATATTCCATTTAATATCTGAACTTAACTTCAATAGTCAAATATATGACATCACATTAAATGGACATGTTTTCTCTGTCCACTATGAAAATGCAAGCATTTTATGCAGTATTCAATAAAATACAATTTGAAAGACTAAGAATCATACTGCTGATTTTATTAAAGGTAATTTGAGATGATAAACTGAAATAATTCTTCCATTCTTCTATAACAATTTACCAACCTTTTCCAATTATAATATTTATCATGTATGCAGTATTTTGATTAAGTTACTTTCTTTTATGGCCTATAAAAATAGATTGTGAAACTGAGACACACGGAGATTAAATGCCTGGACCTGATATGCTAATCCACGTAATATGTCAGTGACTGAGGCAGAGAAAGACCCAAAATAGTGCTTTAGGGGCACCAAAGTATTAATAATAGATATAATTTCTACTACATTAAGGAAAATAAATATTACACTGGGAAGATGGTTTTGACTGATATACGACATACAGATATGACTGACAGATTACTGTATGTCAGGTTTTAAACAGATGAAAAACCCTTTAGATGCTACATACAACAGTAGCTCCTAGATAGCAGATGAGCGATGACAGAATGATAAACAAATATAATTAGTCTTTTGCAAGACTAAACCTAATAGTTGAACATTATAACCTTTGCTTGGCAGGTGTATTTTTTATTCAGCAGCATCTGTTGTAATATTGTGGGTCAAAGGCTCAAATAACCAAGTGCAATATCACAAACTTTAATGGAGTTTTAATATGCCTGGTCTGAAACTGCTGGTTGGTTTATCCCTTATCAATGAAATATGATGATTCAACACACTTCTAAGAATGTTTGCTAAAAACTAGGTTTGTAAGCACTAATCATTTATTTGTTTGCTTTTCTTTCAGCAGACTAATTTTTTAAGAAATTGCTTTCGAAGTTATATTCCAGAATAATTATGCTTATCTAAATATGGAGCAACATTATATCCTGCAATGAAATTAATTAATATATATGCTAGTATTAATATCCAGTATTTTAGCATCTCAAGTCACTCTCAGCTACTGCTAAACACCAGTAGAAACACTGCTACATGTCTACTTTAGAGGATCTTCAGAAAATTAAATTTCACTTACTTTTCGTTGCTTTACAGAATCCAGTTTTACCAACCAATAGGATGCCACTTTTGTTTTATGATACTTCCAATTATCCATAATCTGTAGTCATTTCAAAAAAAATATAAAACATCTGAAATCTGGTATTTCATTAATGAGCATTCCTAATGCTAAAAATGTGAGCATCTAAAAGACCTGTGTGAAAAGAACTTTTCACTAGAAGAAATAGAAAAACATTTGCAAATGTGTGTAGGGGAACATTTGCAAAGGTGAGTACAGTGTTTCAGTTTAGTCCTGCCCTCTTTTCCACCTGATTCTGCCAGTTATACACTACAAACCAGATAGAGAAACTTGTCTTAACTGTCTCAGGCCAGATTCCTTGAACACATCAATAAGTTCAATAATGCATGACTATTTAAATAGGGATTTTTTTTCCTGCAGAAAGGACATTAGACATACCTTGAAAAAAACATCCTTTCTATAAGTGATCATACATGAACTAAAATACTCTCCTTTGATGATGTCTAAGTGCTACCAAAACAGCTTGAGCTCTTAACATACATTATCTTAATTTTGTTATTTTATCTTTCTATTCTATTCCAGACCTATGACAAGTTCTGTCTCACTGACAAATAATAACTATTACTTGTTTCCTTCTGTGATGAAATAGTATTTCCCATCAGAAACTGATTCAAGTCAGACAAATTTATAAAAGAATTCTGCAATAAGGAAGTGCGTTTATAACCATGCTGACGTTGTATGAGAAAGCACCACTAGATGGAGTGCATACACACACACACACACACACACACACACTCCCGTAAGTACATAAATGCACACACACTCTCACGTCTGAAAGAAGTTTTAATGAAGCATTTTATTTCTGATTCGAAGATGAGAAACTCAATATGCTAGTTATGAATGCTATCTTGCAGAATGACCCAAATCAACCATCATTACAGGAGAATTCCTTTCCACTGTGATCTACTTGTACATATTACTAGAGAGATAATGAACATTTTGTGAGTTCACTGAGCAAAGGACATTTCTGGCTGCATAATGAACTAGATTAATTTTAACACAATGTGGATTGTGCTCACTACATCAGAATACAGGTGTTAATTTAAATTACCAGAACACTCCATATTTCTACTAGACTGAGAAAATAATTTCTATCTTCATTTTTATTCCTTCCAAGCTGATGTTAATTTCTTTGCACTGGATATTTAAGAGGGATTTAGATATGATATATTTTCTGCTTATATATCTTAATGTTAGGTTTTGCTTTTTAATTGCCCTTTAGATTGAGCATTGTTTTACATGTCTTTGATACCAAATTATTAGGCTCAGGACAATGCTGGATGTAAGAAAGGGTAATCTGGCAGACTAGAAGAGCCAAAAAAGAGCGTGACTGCTGTTCTTTATGACTAGCAAGCTTAGTTTTCCTTGCAGCATACCATTCTGAGCTCTCTAGTATGCCTATTCAAGACCAAGTTAAACATGTCAGGATCTACATTAACAATATCAGATGAAATATGAATTGTAACATTCTTCTTAGCTTACTTAAATTTGAACTTTCTCCACAATGAAAAACTGAATTTCCCTAACCTTCCTGTTTGTTTCTCATATATTTTATAAAGACATAGGAATGTTTTCCGTGCTGCTCATTTACGGTCAGAAACTATGCAAAGCTCCAAGCTTTTGAAATCCTTTGAATTCTCTTGCATTTTGGAAGTTTTAAGGCCGCAGCAGTTCATGAATCATAAATTGAGCTTTCTACTTTTAGTAGCCTAAACAGTAAGTGTCTAGCCTGTTATTCTTCCTTCTTATTTATAGATACTTACATCTTCTATCATTAATTCTGATTCTTCATCTGTTTTTCCTGGGAACTTCATTCTCATGTCATTGATAATCAGAAGAGTTTCTTTTGTCAAAGCAACTTCTTGCTCTTTTGTTTTTTGTTGCAGCAAAGACTCACTCTAAAAAACAATATGAAGCAGAGGAAAGATTTCATGCAAGTCATTAGATCACATAACAAAGACGTTCCCTTGACAAAAATAAATTATAAATAGGGTGAAATAAAATGTAATATTAAAGGATATAGACCTATTATCTAACACATAACTAATATACACACATATACCTCATGTACACTAATGCATCACCATTACTTATAGTTGTCAAGAAATTAATGAAAAACAGTTGAAATGTAAGTTTGTTTAAACAGAATAAACAAACATATGTTCGATATTATGATGCCCACCATTTAAAATATATGGACTTTTAATTTAAATGAAAAAAATTATTAGTCATAAAAACCTTTCTTTCAGTTCTTTACTGCCAATTATTTGTTACTGTACCAAGATTACAGAAAGCATTAAAAAGCAAGGACACTTTGCTCCTACTCTGCTCAGTGGGGGTTCTGACAGTGCCTTTGATTGTCCAAGATTTTGTTTAAAGTATCAGTACTTTTTATACCAACACCAACCTGAACTTCTACAGTGTCTGTGTAAGACCATCTCTGTAAGGTTTGGGGAATTTCTTTAAATCTTAGACACTAGTTAGAAGTATTTCTGATCCTTGTTCTTTACTGTTGTATTTGCAAGATTAAGTGGACTTAATTTTATGTTTTTTCAAGAGTGAAACTCAAAATTTTTAGGCATTTCTAAATCTTTGTATTTTGTAAGAACTACAATACTTAAGGCTATTTTTGCCTAAGTGATAAATACTTTCAATCATAACAAAATATTTTGCTATATGGTACATAATAATGTGGCTGGAATAATAAGATAGCAAGTATTTCAAAATCCACTTTTGTTTATAACTGCTATAATAATATGTCTGAAACTCCCAGCTGTAAATGGCTTATTCTAAACTCAAGTTTCCATACCTTTACAACATTTGGATCTCAACAGCCTCCAAAAATCACAATATACTGCTCTTTTCTTGCCCAAAGGATAGATAAACTAATACTTTATCATGCAGAAATGATTTCTTCTTAGTAAGTTCCAGTTTATCAATTCTAATTTTATTCTAGCAGTAATATATAGCATATTATTCTTAGTTGCAAAAACAATTATGAACAGAGTTCCATTCACAATACAGTGCTAAATTACGAGTAGTTCTTATCCATTCTGTAAGTAATTTTATTCACATTATTTTAAGAAGAAAGACCTAAGCTCTATCACCCAACATAATTGTTCTGCATATCAAGATCATTTCTGTGGTAGAGTTTTCCCAATGAAAAAGAGAATATGGTTTCTAACTAATGTTAATTTAAGTGAGTAGCCCATTTTTAATGTCAGATGCTACGAGACTGTTTTTAATCTTTCAGTAATTTGTATTTGATATAAAGTTAATGTGAATAGAAAAATCTACATTAGCCCTGTCTCATTAAACTCTCAGAGTACATCTTGATGATAAAAGAGTACTTTTTAAACTTGAGATTGCTAATGTGATAAGAAAATACCTTTAACACGTTGCAGTGAAGACACAATCTTAATGTCTTTCCAATTCTATTAGCTGACTTTAGAGATGGAAAACCATGTTAAGGAGTATTTCACAAGATGTCAGCACACAATTTTTAAAGGATTCTTTTTCATCATTTAGACAAAGCCTCATAGGCAAAACAGTGAGCAGCATTCTACCAGATAAAAATTGTGATTAGAAATAGTAAATACTATGAAGCAAGTTAATTAGCATTACAAAAGGATTTATCACAATCAAAGCTCACCACAATAGAGAAAGGCAAACATGGGCTAAAAGTGCCAATTTGGTTTGCCCCATCTCCAGATGAATTATTTGGGTGCTGAAATATATAGGTCAAGCACCAAAGTATGAATGGAAACACACTGGCACCAGCACACAATACAACACTGAATGAAGTTGGGAACTGATCCCAGCAAATGCTGCCTAGCGATAAGTGGATATGAGGTCCATCATGCAAACACAAAACAAGAAATGCCTGGGCTGTGAAAGAGATATTAGAGGACATGACAGTCTGTCCACAAAAGGAAAAAAATCTATGGCTCAGAAGTACACTGTGAAATTACAACTAACCACACAAATTCTAAACAGCTAGAAGTGTTTCATATGATATATTTATTCTATTATTTATTTAGTTTGACTATCTGAGTCTAACTGCTTGTCTGCCTCAGGGACAGGTTTCAAAATGAAAGAAGTTTTACCTTCACTTTAACAAAAATAAACATGAAAACATGGCTTCTGAGACAGTTATTGCGGTGGCAAATCCTAAAGACAGCAAGAACTATCTGTAGATTTTAAATTGTTCACTTTGGAAGTAGAGCTCTACTGCAGTGGTATAGTGTATGCAAAATAGGTACAAGTATGTTGAAAATTAATTACACCTTCTTCTATAGTGGACACCCATACAAAATCTTACCAATGTTTTATTCTGGTACAACGTGTTTACCCTTGGAGTATATACCGAATTTGAAATATGGATGTATTTTTGTTACTGTAAAGATTTTGAAGGTAAGTACATCCTTATTTCAGAACCAGCAGTCCCCAAACAAATCACAGAAACATTTTGAGAAGTAGAAACTCTTTCTATCTTCAGAAAAACTATTTAGGAGAGAAGGTCTCCCAGTCACAAAAACTCTAAGATTCTACACTCTCTCTACATCCTTACAAAATGTAACATCTGTATTGCTGCACAGGAACACTGAAACATCACAGCTAGCACTTGCTGTAAGTCATATACAGGTCTAGAGATCTTACATTCCTGAGTTTCTGTGAAAATAGCATTGACTATAGTACCTCAGGTTTTCTGACATTGTAAAAATTAGTAATGTATTTATTAGGTGTTAGAGAAATGGAACATATTTTGAATGCAACTTCTGTGTTAACTCACCCCCGAGGAGCTCATAGTTCCCAAGCTGGATGTCTGAGCGACTCTGGCCGAAGATGGGCTACGATTTAAAGAATGAGACCTATTCACTGAGGATGCATGCTGGATTTGCTGAGATGCTTTGGCTGAAAAAGGACGTTGCTCAGCTGCCTGTGACTGCGCACTCAATATTGATATTGAACGAGGGCAGCTTACAGAACGCCTTATTGGACCTGTGGATGATGTGGGGGATGAGTATGATGGAGATTTTATATTTTTAATCAAAGGTTTCCAGTTCATTCTACCTGTAGACAAATTAAACAAATGATGTAATTGCTATTCTCTTAACATCTAATTTTTCAGTCTTTGTAACAAGCAATGTATGAGACCAACATATGTGCACATATATTGTACTGTAATGTATGCTGACTAACAACTATATATGTAGCAGTCAGTCATGTCAACTCCCCTAATAATACATACTTTATATACCCTATAAGAACATTTATTTCTTCCTTATAGTCAGCTTTAATCAGGTAGAGCCCAGTCCTGTAAAACATGCATCAGATTTACGACAGAGTGCATGTGCCCTGTAGGTCAAAAAGTATGTGGTTACTTTATGTGACTTCTTGACTGTAAGAATATGGAAGAAGGAAAGAAAATTTGGTTGATGGATCCCACATTTGCAGATCCGGTCTCCCTCATCAACTCCTGCATAGCTATACAGTTTTTTAATTCAGTCTTCTACTAAATAAAAGATGCTGCTACATGAAAAGTAAAATTTTAGAAGCAGCATTATATGTGTGGAATTACATAATGACATTCTTTGAGACAATACACCACTAAAAAAATAACATGCTAAATCTACTATGTTCCACAGAACATGTTCACACTAATGCTCTGCAGCAAGAAAGAAAACAATCACACAAAAAATCTGTGCAGGGATCTCATCTGGAATATATTGCCTTCTATATGTTTCCAGATACATTTCTTTATCCTTTCTATATTCCAGCAAATTCAAGCTTAGTAAGACTACCTTTTAAAGGGAAAAAAATAACAATCTGCCCAAAAAAAAAAAATCTGAGAGCAAAGAGGAAGATTCACACCATTTCCAAGTGTAGCTCAGGTGTATTTTTCTCTTCAGCATTCTTGGCAAAAGAATAGTCATTTTTTCCTCTTTTTGAAATTAATTTTCACTCATTTAGTAAATATTTGAAAGAAGATGAAATGCAAATCAGTGTTTAACCCTGAGTTACAAATGCTGATACATTCTACAATACTGAAGCATTTTATATCATTCATTGTGAATGCCAAACTTACTTGGAAAAGTGGCCATTTAACTTACCTGATCTTTCCAAAGATTTGTATTTGTTTCCTTCAAGATCATATGAAACTTTTTTCTCTTTTTTTTCGTTGTGATCTTCCTTTTCAGTTTCTTCTCCCAATTCTGACGTACTGCTACAGCTATCACAGCTACTATCACTATTGTAGTTCTTAAGTTTTCTTAAGGGCTGTGAACTTTCTGGCATTGAACACAAGGGCTACAGAAAAAACACCCAAGAAATTGAATTCCTTCATAATCCCAATTGAACATTTTACTATCACACTAGGTCCCTGATTCGGGCAAGTTCATTTGTACATATTTAAATCCTCCCAAATTAGATTGTAATTTTATCCTTAATTATAGAATAAATGCTTAAGTATTTAATTACATTCACTACAGAGTAACCCTAATCTTTCTCACATGAAGAACAGCATAATATAGTAAGGGGGAAAAAAAATATTTTATTTCAACTAGGATTTACACTACCGGACATACTGAATTATGGTTTGATATATAAATCAAGTGACACAAAAGACCATTTACCATCAGTTTCAATCCCTCACTGATATTTGCAGTAACTGAAGCTACAGTTTAACAATGATCAATGTGAAGTAATGAAATACATCAGGGAACTTTGGATGGTATACTTTGAAAGAGAAAGTGATTTAATTGACATCCTGCAGAAAGCAAAAACTGAAAGAATACAGCAAGCTATGCTAGGTGTATTTGGTGTCCCATATGCACATGGGATTCAGTGTCATTAGGTAATTAATCTTGTGCTATTATCAAGGATACTGTGAGAAAAAAAAATCAAAAAGTATGAGACAGAGAAACTGATCGAAGGAAAGAAACTACAAATGAAAATTTTTCTTCTTCTATCTTCCATCAGGCATACAAGAAAAATGCAATATCCTCCATTATATCTATTATCCTAAGAAGGCTCATGATGTCACTTTTTTTTTTCTTTCCAGTAACTCTAAGTTATAACAAGCTATGGTGATCTCTTCATCTTTATAGTCATCTAATGGACCGAAATTAAAACTGGGATTTTTAAAAAAAATCATAATTTCTGAACATTCCATTGAGGAGAGCCCTGGGAAATGTTCAATTACACAAAAAATATTTTGATATCTACCTGCCAAAAGGACAAACTGAGGTGCTCAACACCATGCTTTCTCAAAAACAGCTGTCCTAATCACGAAATGCTGTGTAACATGGTGATATATTGATCAGACAATCCTGATGAGTTGTACAAGGTATAATAAACATTTTCAATCAGAACTCACAGGGGCTATATAGTAGATCTCATTCCAACTAATCATATGCATGTTCCTCTCACATTCTACACTAAGCAATAAGAACATCCTGACCAAGACTTCACATCAATTAACAAAGAAGGATAAAAAGAAAAGTCAATGAAATTATAAAAAACAATAATGACAAATAATAGCTAGATCTGAGTTTAAACTGACCTGTTAAAATAAGAGATATTTGATTGCTTGGCAATTCTAATCACCTTGATTTTTCCCTTACACTAACCTGATTTTTCCTTGATTAAACTCAACTGATTTTATATCAGAAGAATAAAAATAAAAGTAATTGCTCATGTCCTCTAAAATATCTGTTATTTAGTTTCTTAGGTTTTTTTTTTCCTGCACAACAGGTGCCATGTAATAAACATGAATAAACCTTACAGTGTGTAAGTAGAAGGTGCCCTCTAGAGGCTACAGATAAACCAGACATTTCCAGAATGTATTTCTCAATCCAAGTAGAATTCAGTAACATTTTAATTGTAAGCAAAAACACCTACATTCTGGAAAATTCTTGACTTGTTTTCTACTCCGAGCTCCTAATCACATTCAAATAAAAAGGCTGAAATTCCTAGCAATTATGGAACAGTTGTTACATGCAAAGCTTATTTATACACACACACCCCTCTACCCCTCTGATACACATATAAATGTATATGCATATATATGTTTCTATGTATGGAGGAGGATGAGGAGGAAAACACCTCTCTGTCCTAACTATTCCAGCTATTCTGTACACAGTTTTCTGAGTCCTGATTGTTCCTTCTTCCAAGGAAGAGAGTGTGCCCAAGGCAGAGCATCTGACCTCCTAACAGTAGCTTCTGTCAGCAGTTCGGAGGCTGTCTTTTCAGAGAGGACAGGACTTTATGACCTTCTGAAAGAACCTTTCATGTTGGGTAACATGACGTGAACAGTACTGTTCCCTCAGGTTTGTTTTCTCTATTAGATCTTGCATATGTTACTTTTTTTATATGCTAATGGATCTTTATCTGTAGGATTTTATGATTACAAGAAGATGAGTTTTACAGCTGGATTATTTTTTTACCTGATAAATTGATAGGCAATAGTAAATTCTACTGCCATATGCACCTTACCCCTTACAGGAAAGGGGTGGTGCTCTTTTGGTACAAGATACAAGGACCATCTACAATGGGCATCTATATTTCAAAGGCAGTGCATAGGGTATTATGCAACCAGGGAAGTCTCCAGTCACATGGCTTCACTGTAGGCATGTTTAAATGATTGAGAAGTATAACAGGACCCTAAAAAAGATGCAGGAATAGAGAGATCCTGTACAGCATGAAGTATGCACACTGCAAGGAAAAGAAACAATCTCCTTGGATAAGCTAGTTTCATTGCCTTCCTTTTTGATGTCATCATTTTTATGGCAAAAAAAAAAAGTGGGAATTTTGGTCATAAGCAATTTTTTCTTTCTCCTGTAAGTGCAAACAGCATTGTATTGGTAGAACAGCTTGTAAGCTACAGAAACCGTTCGCATGCTATAAAGAAATACCATGGCATATAGTGTCACTCATAAATGGATCAAACTTCATCTTAAAACTAATTAATAGAGGTTTCTCAGTTTGGGCTCAGCACCCTAATAAATGTTTATGGCCTCCAGCTTGGGAACAGCTTGTGTGCAACCAGTGTAGAGATAGTATAGATCAAGTCTGTGTGCATACAGTCAACCAGATAGATGCTCTCTGAGGGCTGCTGGGAAAAGATAGGCTTCTGGAAAAAGGAAAAACATGACTGAGATGTCAAACTTCAATTAAGGGACCCTATGTTAAAGAAGTGAAAATAAAATCTCAAGGAAAAGAGTCCCTGAAGAAAGCAGATTGAGTGTGTTGCTAGGGCGGACTGGATTTTTTTTTTTTTATTCTCTCTTCTTTAAATGAATCCACTACCATTAAAGCACTAGCTCACAAAATCCTCATTTTTGTAATGAGGCTCCTGCAAATCTATCTTAATACCAGATTGGGTATGCAGATCTTCTTTCCAGTATGCATGCCTATAAAATGTAGCTCTTTGGATTCTTGCACATTTCTAAAGTACCCCAATTGTCAGCATTCATTTTGTACAGAAATGCCCAGATTCATGCACCATGTCATCAGAAACATAAAATGCTGCAAAAAAAAATTTACACGCATCCATAAACAAACACATCAGAGCTCAGAAACATAAATGTAGGCCATTCTAAGCAGACTTGACCTAAAATGTTTGCATATAAGAAACATACTTATTTTAGCCAAGCCCAAACTGTTTATCTTCACTGGCTTAGAGAGACATGCAGTGTATTTAAGGCAAAGACTTGCATGAACTATACACACAACCAGAAAGTATTAAGCTAAAAATAATATACATTCACTTTAAGAGCAGATTTTGGATTCAAAACAGACTCCAAGATATACTGTACAATGCCTTTAGCAAGTAAGTAAGCTGCAGATACACCACAGTCATTATTAATCCCTTGAGCTTCCATAGTGCTTCTTATCCCATGATCTCAAAATTCCTTAGTGGCACTAATCGATAAAAGATGCAAGCATTCTTTTGAGATAGGCTATGGATATAAAAATCATTTCACACACTGAAATCAAGCAATCTCTTATACAACAGTTGTTGCCATGTGCAACAATTCCTGAAAATAGCTCACAGAGGAAAAGAAGGATCTCATATCCAGTTAAAATTTTAGTGGGATTTAGTTGGACAAATGGTGGTTATGCTTCTCTTCATACTTAAAAAAAAAAAAAAAAAAAGGCTAATGGCATTCGAAGGAAGAAAACTTCCATCAGAATCAGCTAACTAAATTCCTCACTTAAAATTCTCAGACTACCTCTCTTCAGAGTGAAATAAAAAACTGGTACCTAGAAGTCCAGTACCTTAGGTCCTCGCTGCCTGGTGCATTTTCCCATTAGCTTTTCATCATCTATTTCACACTGCTCCAGAAGATCCAAAATGTCCTCTTCCTAGAAACAGGTATTTCATTACAATTAATTCAAAGCAGGACATATCCTATCCTCCCAAAATTCAAGCACCAAGTGGTAGGAATTTGAAATTACTTTGATTAGTAATTCCTGAAATAAAACTATGAATCCCTCCACAGGAGGATATAAAAGTATTTCTTCTGATGCATGCATTTCCACTTGCAATCAATATGAAATTGAAAGTTAAAATCAAGTCAACACTTATTAAATATAAAAGTCTGAAGAACAGGTTGAACAAAGATTCCTGTGAAACTGCTGGATGATGTCAACTACAAAGATGGGAAATTATTTCCTAGATTTCAAACTAAATCACATTAGTTTGTTACTTTATAGCCATTTTCCTACTGTCTCTGATTACGTAAGTAGGCAACCAGGCAGAGGCTTTGGATGCCTTAAACTAGTGGAGCTGGTTTTATGATATCTCTCATTCCGGTCCATACAAGTAGGTGAACAGGCTGGGGACATTACTGGAGTAAGACAGAGGCAATTACCATCTCAAAAGCAGTTTCTGCCAACCTCTGGTTTGGCCAAGGGTAAGGCTGAATATCAGGGAAATGGTAAAGTAGCTTAAAGCCATCTAGCCTGTCTCCACCCTGGGTCCACTGCAGTTCATCCAGATCCAAGGATCTGGCCCACAAGCTGAACAAATAATAATAAAATGATAGAAACAGTACTGAATGCTATTTACTAGCCATCGCACATGATTATTGTGAAACTAATCCACAAGGTCATGAATTCCAAGATAAATCATAAAGGCAATACTTCTTGTGCTCCAGTACCTTCATTCTTTTGAAAGGATTATTCATTTCCCGCTGAAGTGAAGCTGCTCTCCCAGCAAGAAACGTCTGGAAAGCAGTGGCTAACAAACTCTCATACTTTTCAAGTAATGTCTTATCATCAGGAGGGTAAATTCGCCTAAAATAGGGGGAAAAAATTGAGTTTAAGATAGAAGCTGAGCCACTTATAACACTAGGAACAAAAGTAATGCAGCTAATTCACTGTCTCTTCTATAATGCACATGTATTCCATCTATAATAGTCATATAATATCATAAAATATATACTCTGAACATTGCTCTCTAAATCTAATTTTAACTCCGTGAACACATTCATGTTTAAACCAGCAATTAGCCAGTCAAAAGAAATACAATGCAGGTCATTCCAGAGATATACCCAAACTGAGTTTTGCAGTGCTCTTAAATTTCGGTGGGTGTGAATGATGCATGCAGGTGTGAACGACTCATGAAACACTAACAAAATATTGCATGCAAAATTCAGAGCCACAAAATAATTTGTATCAGCAATAAAAGGACACAAAATAGTGAAAATCTGAACAATTGCTTTGAGTTAGTGGGCACGATGTAAATTAAAGACTGAATATGTACTGCACTTGACTGTTAAATCCTCCAAAATAATGAACAGGAAGAAATAGATACTATAAGAAAAAAAATTTTCTGGTACATGGATGTACAGGGTGACTCTGATTTTCCATTAGAGCAGCTATGCCATCATTCTCTAAAATCACAGGTAAGGAGATTATGACAAAGAAAAGCAGGACTTAGTGATTTATTCATGCTCATCAAGCAACAATGGGCTTTGAAGAAAACCACTCCAATCCATTTGTCACGAATGCCTGAAACACAGCCAGAAATTATGAAGGTGGAACACTGATTTCTAATGTACTGTAAGGAGTAATCCATAAATTAATTGACTGCATTGTGCAATAGTATAAAAAAGCATAGGTACCGTTTATATATTGAGTGGCATGATGGGATTTTTAGGTATTTGTGGATATTTTGTGATTTTTAGGTATTTGTGGATATTTTGTGATTTTTTACAAGGTTCTTTCTCCTTCTTCCTTTTTAGTCTTTTCCTCCCTGAAAAAGTATCTTTCATGAGGATTTTGTTGCAATGAAAAAAGGATAGTTATGATCCCATTAGACTAGAGGAAGTTCTAGAGCAAACTGGAGATGGTTCCAGTTTGCATGAAACACCTGTAGAAGCTCTAATCTAGTGGCAGTCAATACTTTTTAAGGCTATTGACACTACTGCTGAATAAGTGCCATAGAACAATATTTTAAATAAAGGATATTCATTTAAATATATGTAGAAATACACTGCAGCTAAAGACCATTCCAAAGCCATATACATCCTCTTCAGTTCCTCATGAATTCACAAAAGCTTGAAAGTATGTCTGCTACTTTGGCCACCCCAGGACTCCTACTGGAATCAGTAGGCTTGTTGTGCTTGCAGACAGACACTTGGCTAAGCCAGTTGCTGAACTGACGTCCATAAACTAAATCAAAACCTGCTGGGGTTGACTGAGGTTTCTCCGGATTTTTATTCAGAAAGCAATATTAATCCATGAAGCAATACTAGCACCCAAAATTTCCATAATTCTATGGCAATGCCTGACAGAAGCTAGTCCTGCTCTGCAGGAGAACATCACAAGGAGAAAATACAGCATAATGCTCAGATAAAATTCATCTGCATCTCTAACCAAGATTCCTTTATTTCTCAGCCTTTTTGCAAACACATGGTAATAAGAAAACACGAGGTTGTTCTGCCCTTTTACATGTGCACATTCCTCATGAAATGACACTTCACTTTTTCCTGAAGAAATAAAATATTTTGGTATTTTTATGGATTTTCATTAACCAAAAAGCTAAATAAAGAACATTTGGCTCATTTTCAGTCAAGAACTGAATAAACAACCTAAAATGTGAACAGTTAAAAGTTATCGAAAAAGCAAAAAGTATTAAAGCATCGTGATTCTCTTCCTTACAGTCTAAGTATCATGAAAAAAGCCTGTTTCACTGTGGGGTTTTTTGGATGTACTAGTTCCACATATGTCAAGAAATGATGTAATTAAAGTTGGGAATGTTACAAAGAAAGACTTTTTGTAAGCAAAATGTTAATTCACCAAAAATTAAAATTTCACAGAAACATCTATCTATTTAAATGAGAAATTTACTGGGAATTATAGAACATCTGCTCAGAAAAGCAGTGATGAAGAACACCAGTAAAGGCATTCTGACTAATTCAGAATAAAAGATGTGAACTCAAACATCCCACATCCTGGATGAATATTATAAAGGGTGGGAAAATAATCCTATCATGTCTTCCCATACTCTGCTCCCTTTCACCAAATATTCATAGGCCTTCCTTTCATTTCTCATTGAAGCAAATATTAAATAATAATAATAATAATAATAATAATAATAATAATAATAATAATAATAATAATAATAATAATAATAATAATAATAATAATAATAATAATAATAATAATAATAACTTACATAATGAAACAAAATTATTGTTTTCTGGACAATATCTATTATAACCAACAAATTAAAGCTTCCTTTTGAATGTATTTTACCAAGGAATCTGAACATACTTATGTTTAAGCATACTAAGAAATATGAATATTTCAAATGCCATTCTATCAAAAATGATGGAAGCACCAATAAATTTTCTGAACTTTTGGAAAGCCTCATGGATAGCAATTATTTTTATAGGGGAATACTCACACCCCTACATTTCCCCCCCTAGAGTTAAGAATCATCATATGTGATTATAGAACAGGTCCATAATGACAGTCATGGTTCTTGGTACACTGAATGTGAACAATCATGTCTTTCAAGCAAATGTCTTGCACAAATACTAGAGTGACTGATGGCATATAAATTCTTAAGTGCATGCAAAAACTTGGAATCAAAAACTGAACTATCTAAAAAAAAAAAAACTTAACTACTTGGTATACATGTATATATTTTCTATTAATGCCTACACATTTCTGGCAGAAAATTATCATCTACCACAAATACTTGTTTCCATTATTCTTAAAGAATGCACTGAATACTTCCTACTAACACAGTCAAAAATAGTTACCTGTAGTTCCCCATGTGTTTGTTTTCATGCTCCTCTTTGGAAATCTGTTTACGTACTTGTGCAAGTCTTTCCTTCTACAAATCAAGAAAATAAGACAATTAAAACAAAAGACAGCATAAACCATGGGCAAGAAACCGCATATTTTTTTTCCTTTCTACCAATTCTTCTTTTCTCCTTTCCAATGTGTGGCGCTGCTTCTCCCAGTCTGAGGAACCTGGCAACAGCTTTTTCATTGAACCTTGACCATATAGTCTTTTCTGAGCCTCAGCCTTCTGTTGAGCTAAATTCCTCCTTTTATCACTTGTCCTGAAACACAGATGATATTAAATATGTCAGTCCAATACAGCTGAGATGAGATGCACTTTCAACTCAAGTATATCATCTGTCTATTTTCCAGTCAGTCATGTGAAGTTTATGATATAAAATTAGAACTGAAATGCTCATTAAGAGGGTTTTTTTTTAATATTAACTTTTATGGCTACAATATTTTCACAGTTTAAGACGTACTATAATGACTCCATACTATAATTTAATGTACAAGTGTGGTTGTATCTATTTTCCTGAAGTGTGATTTTTTTCCAACATGCCCCAACTACAAAGTTCTCCTGTAGAGGGGTATGGCTTTTGACTGTATGTGAAACTATTACCAAAGCAAATTTCCTGGCCATATGCCCATGACTGCACTCATATCCCCACTTTAAGACCTGTTTCAAAAATCATTTAAAAAGAAAGTACAAAAATTACTATTACCACTTATTTTTTGTAAACACATAAGCAAGAAGAAAAAACAAATTTGAGTTAATTTCAACAGCAAAACTGACAGCAAGGGTAATATTTATATTTTGAAAATAAGAAGGTGGAAAAAAAGGTCTTAATTTTCTCCTAGTCCAGTTCAAATTTAAAAAAAAAAAAAAAAAAAAATTAAAGCAACAGAGAGGGAGAGAGAGACAGATTGAAGAAAAGAAGACAAGTTTACCGTATGTTGAGAAGCTTTAATGCATTCAACAGAACACCTTTTTTGACATCGTAGTCTATTTTTTGATCTGTTCCAAAGCTTGGGGCACGATTAATCTGAAAAAAAACAAGATACGAAAGACTCAGGAATGTTCACATTCACTGGGAACACATCTATTTTAACAGGCTTTGGAGAAACTATTTTTTCAAATCTAGCAGATATTAAGAGAATATACATTGAGAAGCTCATTTCCATTTGTTTGTTTGTTTGTTTGTTTTTAAATTGAGCATTAAGTAATATAGATACTGGTAGCCAGGGGATGTACCTTTCAGCCACCAAGTTATCCAAACATTTACAATGAACACCATTCCAGTACTGGCACTGTTAATGCAGTCTAATCTATTCTTTGTTGCTGCACCAGAAAATTTAGCATACAAAGTGCTGTTAAGCCCATTATAACAGACTATGTGCCATGCCATGGTAGCACAGCACAGCAAGAGTTAAACACTTTCCTAGTTCCCAGTCTGAAAGCAACTCTGAATATTTCTCTAAAAAGTAACAACTATATAAGGACAGAAGGAGGCTCTAAAATTCAAGGTCTTCTCAAGTATGCTTAAATAACTACTCAGATACACTTTACAGCAACACCTAGAGATCTACATTTTTAAATCAGTACATAGCATGAAAGCGTAGAATAATTAACAGTCTCAGTAACAAAAAACTTATAAACTAAGTACAAGACAAGATATTAAAAGTGTTACCATAACTACAGAGGAACAAGGGAAATGTAACTGGGAATCGGTGAGACTAAATCACACACTTAACAGCCAGGAGTCTCCACCAACCACCGTATAATCACTGCCAAGCTTTGGATCCCCTGAAAAAGAGCTTCCGTTTTTTGAAGGCTTTGAGGAAGGATAATGAAGTAGTTTCATCAACATTTCTAGGAACACCTTCCAGGCTGTTATAAAAATTTATACATGAGTGATGTGTGCTAATGAGAAGTAGGAATCTCACCTCCATAGTGAAAGAGCAGTGCTGGTTACAGAAGGGACAAATACTAAAGAGCCTCAGAAGTGAAAACTAATACCTTGTGCCCCATGCAAATAAGAAGCGGGATACAGTCAGTATGTTCAAAGCAGAGGGCAAAAGCAGGTCATTAAAATAATTAGTTTAAATAGTGTTTTAACACTTTAGATACATTAGAGCATCTTAGAGCCTCTATAGTTGTGGGACAGAACTACTGCGGCTGGAGAGCCCCCAACTGTCCTGTTGCTGAGGCCCAGGTGCCCCATCACCTATGCTTATAGTTGCAGAGTACCTTTTGGCTTTGAGAATCAGCATGTTTGCTGGTTTTGCAGACAGACTGACAAAGTGAGCAATGGGGTCTGATGTTGAAGGAAGAATCATGAAGATTCAGCAAAAGTAGTGGAAAAGTGTATACATTCTTTTTTGAAAGACTTTCATCCAAATATTTAATTGAGCAACCTCCTTACACTGACCTGTATGTCTCCTATCACTTCACAAAGGCTGACTTTTTTTTTCTATACTGTGATATAGTACATAAATTTACTGACATTCATTTTTAAAAAAAATGTTAATGTTGCACTTGCAGCTAATCAAGCATATAATTATTCAGAGAAACAAGCCCAAGGATTAAAACCCAGTTCTCCAACATTTCATTAGAGAGTAGTGGCAGTTGACAAGACCACAGACACATTACGTCTCATTTTCAACATGAAGTTTAAACAAAACACTTTGACTAGAGCTGCATTGATTAAACGCAGCTGATAACTGAAATAAATTGGAAATATTCTGATTTTGAGATATCATACTGTCTAATACAGGAAGGATTTATTTATGTTTAAAAACATATGTGTGAAGATCCAGTATGGAACCTTATACTTCACCAAATACCTAAGTACACAAAAAGCTCTCTGGACTGAAAACAGAGACATAAATTCAAGCCCCAACTGTTTACTGAGGAGAAATGTTAGGTATTGAACAAAATTATATTCTGTAGCACGTATTGCATTTTTTACTCCATATGAACACATAGAAACTAACAATACTCCACTTTGAAATAATGTTTTTGCATGCATTAAAAAGAAGTGAATAGACAAATATATTTATTAAATTCCAACAAATTAATTTCTGATTTTTTTATGTACACTGAATCCTTAAATTCAGTGAGACTGCAGTCAGATACAAAAACTTATTTGGAACATATAAAATGCTAAATTGGTCCGATACTGCATTCCTAGAGATGCACAGACACATGTGTACACAGCACTGAAGCATCCAACTTGATAGCTTGACAAAAGTACACACTGTTGTATTTATATTTGGTTTAGGTTCTTCCTAGACTTACAACAATTTGAAGTATAATATTCTACATTAATAAAAATGTTATAAATATGTGTTACTTATATGAGCACCAGTGAGAATTAACACTATGAAAAGTGAAAAATTATTTAAATAGGTTTTCTCCTACAGGGTGAATTTTGCCAAAAATCTACATCTGGCACTTCTGAATAAACAAAACCATACTGACTGTGTTTATTAAACAGAAAATTAAAGTGGGGTTGGGAAAGATATAAGAAGACATTTGAAATTCTATTATGAGACATTACACAATCACTCCACATTAAGGTTTCTGTCACTTCAATGCAGTCATTTAAGAGGCTGAAAAGCTTCAGCATTCATAGTTAAAACTGGAGCACTGTTGTATCACCTGCATCCTCAACTTTTTAACATATCATTTATGAACAGTGTTTGAAATCTGAATACTACTGTGACTTCAATCCTGAAGTGAATCAAAGGGGCAGTAATAACAGTGATCCAGTTCTGGATAGCTATTGCAAACTTGGCCTAGTGCAATGTTTCAGATAGCAGTAGATGCAGATCCGGTACAAAAACAAAACAAAACAAAACAAAACAAAACACACACACGAAAAAAAAAAAAACCACCCACAAACAAACAAACAAAAAAAACCCCAGGCAATTGGGTATATTAGAAAGTTAATAGATAGAAAGCAGCTGTGAATTTAAAGTTCATTAGCTATTCCATACTAATTGTCTATGTGTGTACTCGAACTGCCTCTTGATTTAGTATGACTATGCGCAAGGATACTTCACTAAAACTTTTCTCTTTAACCCTCTTCATCTGTTCATGCACCTCCCTTCTCACAACATCAACTTCAAAAGTCGGTCTGACCTTCAGTGTCAGCTAAAATATTTATTTATCATTAAGTGTAGATGGAATTATGAGAGGTATAAAAATGGGGCATATCTTCATTCAGCATTGCCATCCAACGCTTCATAACCTGAACCCACAGCATAGGTCTCTGATGTACAAAACCATCTATACTCGAGGTGAATCTGCAAGAAACCATAATTAAGTCACAAAAAAAAAAAAAAAAAAAAAAAAGGTTTAATACATAAATAACATTTTTAGAGCAGAAAACACCTCTTCAATGCCAGGAAAAAACACATGTAGCAGACAATCTAATCTCCAGAGCATACAGATAATATGTTCCCTGCAAAGGGCACAACTAACTAAACTGGCTATCACAGCAATTTACAGTCTCATCACACAGTACCTTTTTAATGCTCCACTCATTTGTTCTCAGAGGTAACTAATGCCTTTTTCCTTAACAGTGTCTTCATATTACAAACCACCTGGAACCTCACTCAAAGGAATAAAATAACTACATGTTTGATCTAGCTGAATATCTTCCACATTCAGCACTACTCTACTCTTTAACTAGCAGATAAATGATTGAATCTACTTGACAGATTCTACAACACTAATTCTGGAGTTATGGCAGTGTTCTGTATTAGGTTAGTTTGAATAAACTACATTTAAAACTTCAAATTTTCTAATCTGTTGCATACAACAATGCACAGAAAAGGAAAATTGCTTGATAAACAAATACAGTATTCCTCTATATAGACTCCTTGACATGTTTGTCACATCTATTATTTATACAATATCATAGTTTTATCCCCCCAAATATCTGCTTTACTGACAATGATACTTTAGCTTCTTTACTTTCTATGACTTCAATAGCTATAGAACTGAATTGTCCACATAAGTTTTTAATTTCTCCAACTGAAATCTCCAATCTTGGTTTCATAATTAAAATTTCTCTGAATATAGCACATACAATTAATCAAACTGCTTGTAAGCACAGCAGTTGTGTAGCTCAGTGTATTTCATAATTTCATACTTGTCAGCAGAGGACCTCATATCTGCAATGCTTAAATTAAAAAGCATTAATTGAAGTACCTCCTATGAAGGCTCCATTCACAGTTACATTTGCAAAGGATTCTGATTTTACAAAAATGAAACTCTGTAAGTATGTAAGTTACATCATTTTCTTCTTCACCAAGACATGGGATAAATTTCAGACTGGCATTTCACCACTTTACCAAAACAGTCAAAGAGCATATTCTCACCTCCCACTGCTGCACCATATTAACATGGAGTAGGAAAATAAATTTTCCACTATCTGTCATGCATACCTATTAAGACCACCTTTCAAATATAAAGAGAAATTACATGGATGACTGTATAAACCTAAAATCAATTGAATAAAGTATTTCATCCTTTCAATTACAGGAATTTAATCTCTCTTCAATGTGTAGAATAGCATGAACGTTTTGGAAAAGTTCTCATTCTTAATTAAATTTATTGAGATTGCTAACAATAGAATTCAAAAAGCAAAAGAAATTTACAAGCCATAAAAATCCTACTACACAGAATGCCCTTAGTGGTTGGTTATCATTGAGCAGATCTTTGATTAGAGACAATCATGAAGTTCACTCTAATCACTCGTTTCTAAACTTCAAAAATTGTGAGAGTGCTAGCCACCTTTTTCTCAGTTTAAGCAGAAGGCTGGTTTTCCATAGCAGTTTAAATAAATGCAAATCCAAGCTGTCATACTCTGCCTACTTCACTGTCTTGGCACTGGGGGTCACAGAGAGTGAGAAAGCTGATCCCAGTGATCCACATTAAGATTAACCGTGACAAAGTTATTTTTTATTGGTCCTTGACCATCTCAGGAAGGAATCCTACAAGTACCAGTGTCATCACAGGGAAGGGAGCAGGAAG